TATATTTGGGGAAAAGGAAAAGTGGAACAAAATTATAAATACAAAACTGTGTGCTGTGTGTCGTTATTTATTTGTTTTTGAAGAGCAAAATAACTTGAGCCCTGTCAAAGGTCGTTGCCATGGACACGCGGTGGCAAACAGCTGAAAATGTCGTTTAAACCTTCTTTGCTTGTCTCGTCAGTGTGTTTTCTTCCGTCAAAACCTAACAAGCTCTTCAACTGCAAACAGCAAAAGACTTTATTCAACGTTAAATTTCGTGTCTAGAAAGGAACAATTGGAGCAACTTAAGAAGAACTACGAAGTACTTCTGCAGAATTATACAAACTTGATGGCGTTGCATGGGCAGACAAAATGTAGTGAGCAAGAGACAGACGCCACAAAAGACCAGAAAAAGCAAGAGAAGCAAGAACAAATGGAAGTCGAAGAGAAAGAGAAGCCAGAAAAGAAGGAAAGAGGTAAATGGAGATTGTTTAGGAAGTTTTTTGCTGAAAGGGGCATTGAGGATGCTGCTGAACTTTAAGATAGACACGAGACCCTCTGACCTCATTTGTCCACCTTCCTCTGTTAAGACCCTGACCTGCAGACCCTATACATCCTTCTCCGCACCCTCAACCTTCCTGCTTTCATCTCTTCACCTCCACTCCCCCAGCCCCTCTCCTCCACCTGCAGGGAGGTGTCCCGTGTTAATGTAATTAAAAGCATCAAATAGAATTCTGCTCAGCGTGTCTCTTTCTCTGTGTAAGTTACTTTGGTTGATTAACGTGAGTTTTTAGTTTGTCACATTAAAGAACAAAGTGGGAAAATACATTGTACAGATACACAAACAGTTTGGTTTAACTGTGTTTCTGTGTATAAAATGATTTCATCATGTTAATGGCTATTAATTTAATAACATTATATGTTCTACTTCACTTCCAACTTTACCAAAATATGAAATACTAAAGTTTATTTTCCGCTATTGAATCAAAACAAAATAAATTTTCACCGTCAATAAATTTGGCTTATCTCAAATTTGCAGCTTACTAACTCAAACATCTGGGAATGTGTTTGAGATCATAACCTGTTGACTTCTGGGTGTTGTTGTTTTTTTCTTTTTAAACATAGTATTTGAATGAATACTTAGTGTACACCACCACTTCCTTCAGGTGCTCCCTGGGCATACATTGTGCGATTTTTTTGGCCCATTTTGAGCCGATTTTTCAGTCGTGCGACCGTTTTGGGCTGTTAATCCTCCAATATGCATAGATCAAAAATCATTATCACAACAAGAACCACTTGAGATATCAGCATAGAAAAACGGGGTAGTAATAAAACGGCACTGCAAATGTCAAAACCCCCAGGCAGAGATCTGAGAGGAATAAAGAGGTCAGGGAGCATTAAAACATACTGAAATTCAAATATGATGTCGCTTTTTTTGCATTTTGGCGACACCCTGTGGCCTCAGCTTCATTTGCAGAATGCATGGTGCAGCGATGTAGCATGGAAAACACACATTACCGGGTATGAATGCCTGGTAAAAACGAAGGCTATTATAATTTTAATAATGAGGTCACGTAAAATTTTCCACTTGACTAACCAAAACAATTTGTTCATATGTGCTCCTGTTGCTAAACTATTTCTGATACAAAATGTAATCTAAACAATTCATTTTTAAAGCTCTGTGATATAAAACTACTTTTTGGGTGAAATTCCGTGTTTATTTTCAAAATGCCTGATAAAAAAAATTATCCTTCTAGTATTTTACTCAATGTACTAATTTGCTTAAATACTTATAACTAAATTAAACCAAAAAGATGCGAAAAGGTGAACTCGAGAAATGCTCATTTTCTGTTTCTACCACTGAAGGCGCCATCCTATATCATCCGAGCTGTTGGGGCAGGAAACGCATGCTCTCTAACCAATCAGGCGCCTGAGATCTAAGCGCACAGTTTATCGCGAGACCTCGGGTCTTCCTTTTCCCTTTTCGCTCTGAGTCCAAGATGGTAGGTCCTGCTAACAGAATTTCTAAAACACGATAGTCAGACTATCCGCGGTCATCCTCTGAATTAAACCACCTGATGTTTTAGATGAAACCATTTACACGTTATAAACATACTTTATGTTCGAGTCGTGCTAAGATGTCGTGTTATTTGACTTTATAATTCACATTAGCCTATATTCTTGGGAGCCGACACCGGTGGTAGCTGTACGCCTTCAAGTTGAGAATAAGTCAGATTTACAATGGGTTAAAGATGCCATATATTATCACAGGTCACTGTTTATTTTTGTCCCAACTTTAACGTATGTGTCGTAAGATCAGAAGTGTCCTTATTTGACGCTATGTGCATGTTTGCTGTGCCGTTCAGAGTTAGCGGTTAGCTGCAGAGTGTCAACGTGTGTATCGGCCGCTGTTATGTGGATGAGTATGAGCTATGTAGTGTGTAATATCCCTCTTAAATGTATGCTATTTTGTTTTCGGTGTTATATTTTTTTTATTTTAAAGATAAACAGTTGAGGGTTAGATGTATGAGGTGTTCTTGGTCAAGATTATATGTTCTTCTTACCTGATTAATATATGAATCTGCTTCTAATCAATTTTCCAGGGAGTTGACATCAGGCACAACAAGGACCGTAAGGTGCACAGGAAGGAGCCAAAGAGCCAGGATATCTATCTGAGGCTCCTGGTCAAGGTAAGATTAATTTCTAGGTGTGTGAAGTTTGAAATGGTAGCTTGTGCATTTTAACTATTGAACAGTCTGAAACCTGTAATCCTGACATTCCTGGTGTTTTTCCTTTAACAGTTGTACAGGTTCTTGGCCCGCCGCTCCAATGCTCCCTTCAACAGGGTCGTCCTGAGGAGGCTGTTCATGAGCAGAACCAACAGGCCTCCCATTGCTGTCTCCCGCCTGGTAGGTCTTTCTTCCTCTCACTTTGATTTTCACGCATATATCCTCCTGTTTGCTTTTACTATGGTGTCCAGGTTAATGGGTTAGTCTTCAGCGTCCCTGGCCTAATGTACCGAACTGTGCAGTGAACCTAAAATAAAGCTGGAAGAGGGCTATCAGGGCTTCTCTAAGGTTTTGAATTTTGTACTGTACATGGGGGTAATATAGTATTCCTTTCTTCTTATGAGAGATGCACTAATTGCAATTTACTGTTTCAGATTTCCAATTTTTTGAGTGTATTTCCTTTCTAAGGACTACAATTGACAGCATATACTAACAAAATTAATTCTTTAAGGAAGAAGTTACTCTTATAATAAAAGAGGCTCACTTTACAATTTCGCCCAAGCTGCAGAAAGTTACAGGATCTCTCGTTTGAACAAATGAAACAATGGATGGAAAGAGGTAGAAAAATTTAATGGAAAATGAGTTGCTGTATGTCTACTGTTACCTGACAGATTTGATCACATCAATCAAAGCAGGTTCAGCAGATTTGTGTAAGAAGACAAATGCTGGGTACTGGAATAATAATGTTGCTCATTGCCATAATTTTCCTCTTAACTACTTTGACCCTTTGCGCATACTGAGGCTGCTGACTGGTGGCTGTCTCTGAGCTTTGGATTGCTTTAGTTCTAGATGTTTTTCGTTTGAGTTTATTTAAAATGTCTGTGTTTAGGTTTTGGTTAGATTTGGTTTTCCTGGTATGAATATTCCTAACATAAGTGGACAACTTGTTGTTTTCGCTCACAGTGAAACCCACATTTGCAGCATGTCCGGTATAGCTGTGAGTGTGTGAGTGCAACTTCTTTTCTGCAGCACCGTGCATGTGTTGTGCATTCATGAAATGGTAAGCCTCGCAGTCGGTCATGTAGGAGGCTGGTTGTTGGAACCAGAATGTTGGAAAGTTGGCTGATTATGCGCCCTGGATCGGTGCATCTCTGCTACTCTTTCCATTTAGTTTTTAACGCGTCTTTAGAGATTCTGTAAAACAAATCACTGGATTTTTATTTTAGTGCTCCCTGTTATCAGTTCTATAATCACACATTGATTTGCCTCAATTTCTTCTTCTTCTTCTTCTTCTTCCTTTTTTTTTTTTTGTTTATTTTTTTCCCCTAGATCCGTAAGATGAAGCTTCCCGGCCGTGAGAACAAAATCGCTGTCGTCGTGGGAACAGTCACTGATGATGTCAGGATTCAGGATATCCCCAAGCTCAAGGTAGGCCTTACATTTAAGAAAAAACAGTTCAACTTCACTCCCACCCCCACCAGAAAATACATTTACTAACTGCTTCTTCAACATTGTAAAGGTGGCTTAAAAAAAATCTCAAATCAGACCTCACCTCTTGCTTACTGTCCCACAGATTTGTGCTCTGAGGGTGACTGATGGTGCCCGCCGTAGGATCCTGAAGGCAGGAGGTCAGGTGATGACCTTCGACCAGCTGGCTTTGGCTTCTCCCAAAGGACAAGGCACGGTGCTGCTGTCAGGTAACTGAACATATTGAGTTGGAGATCCTATTTTTGAAACGAGCTGTTTCCACCGGATACCCTAGAAACTGGCCAATAAGGAAGATGTACCAGATAACAGCTTAAGTGTGCAGTTTGCTGAAGCTGTAGTGGTTGAGCTTCAGTGGCTATTTGGAGGCTAAGAACACACTGCAATGGATGAGGATTGTACATCAAACTGCAATGGATGAGGATTGTACATCAAACAACAATGTATTTTTCTGCTTTCAATGGCAGTCAATATCTTATTTCAGCACAAGAGAACACTGTCTTAGCCTATCTGAAACCACATAAGATTTGTTCACCTGACTTTTTTTTTTGAGGGAATGTTCAGTCATTATTGTCATTAGAGACAACCAAGCATTAAATTTTACTCATTTAAATATCGGTACAACCAAGAAATTGGCAAATAACACCAATAATCACATGCAATAAGAACTGATGACTGGGTTGAAGTTCAATATTTTTCCAGAGCAGATTGCTTGTTTCTGATTTTTTTTTTTTTTTTTTTTTTTTTTAAATTGTTTGAGAATGTTAAGTTTTTATTAGTTTCTGTGTTAGCTTTATACTTGATTATTAGGTGGATATTGTATGCCCAAGGTACAATATTTAGGATAATCATTAACAGGTTTTAAGTAGTAGAATTGAAACTGGTAGAATCAGTCTTGAAGACATCCAAAGTGTCATTAGGCAAGCTGCGATTACACAGTTCACCAAACCAATGAATACTAAAACTAAGGACGCGTCCTCTTGTTATTTTATTACAGTTTTCTAACTTCAAACAATCACTTTAGTTCAGTTCACATGTAAATTTTTAGTTTAGCTTAGGTAATTACATACTATAATGTTGCAGCATTGTGTTAAACATTTGTCATCTGCTTTTTTTTCTTCCTCAAATAGCCTCGATAATTACATTAAATAAGTGCCAATATTAGATTTTAGGGTCTGTTACACTCTTAAGGCTTTCACAGTCTTCTTGTTCCTTCAGGTGTTTAGTATATCTGGTAAGGATCTATCAGTGTGATATTTGACTCTTGATTCAAACAGCTTTATCTCGTATTGGCGGATCGATTCATTTGTGATTAATTTGTCACACCTCAGCAGCAGTTCACTGTTTGGTGCAGGTGGAGATAGCATAGCATGTAGGAAGCAAACAGAAGTTAGGACGTCATATTCAGCATCAGCAGACACCTGAAGTCGGAGCATTATAACTTCGAAAAACTTGCATTGGTGCTTCCCTAATATTTACAAATCTAGTCCGTACTAAAATGTGATTCTTGCACTTAAATGGTAAATGGCCTGCATTTGTGTAGCGCTTTACTAGTCCCTAAGGACCCCAAAGCGCTTTACACATTCAGTCATCCACCCATTCGCACACTGGTAATGGGGCGCATTGACAGAGGCGAGGCTGCCGGACACTGGCGCCACCGGGCCGTCTGACCACCACCAGTAGGCAACGGGTGAAGTGTCTTGCCCAAGG